GAATGGGGGAATGGGGGAATGGGGGAAGAATGAGGGAAAAAATGGGGGAAAATGAGGGGAAAATAGGGAAAATGGGGAAGAAATAGGGAAAAATGAGGGAAAATGGGGAAGAAATGAGAGAAAATGGGGGGAAAATGAGGGGAAAATGGGGAAGAAATAGGGAAAAATGAGGGGAAAATGGGGAAGAAATGAGGGAAAAATGGGGGAAATGGGGAAAAAATGGGGAAAAATATGGGGAAATGGGGGGAAATGGGGAAAAATAAGGGGAAAATTGGGGAAAAATGGGAGGAAATGGGGAAGAAATGGGGGGAAAATTAAGGAAAATGGGGAGAAATTAGGGGAAAATGAGGGAAATGGGGAAAAATGGGGGAAAATGAGGGAAATGGGGGGAAAATGGGGAAGAAATGGGGGAAAATGGGGGAAAAGGAGGGAAAAGGGAGGGAATTTCCTATAAAGACTCCCAAATCCTGGAATTTTCCCACAAAACAACCCCCAAATTTCCTTTTTCTCCCCTAAAAATACCCCAAAAAAACCCCAAATTTCAGTTTAAAAATTAAAAAAAAAACCCACTTTTAATGGAGAATCAGTGAGGGAAAATTGGGATAAAGTGGAATGTGGGAAAAACTGAGGAGAAAAAGTGGGATTTGAGGGAAAAATGGGAATTAAAAGGAGGAATCCGTACCTGTTTTTTCCTTGATTTCACAGAGGACGCTGAACAGGGCTGGCTTCATCCTGTGGCAGTTCAGGGCGTGCTTCCTGCAAAAAACATGGAAAAATCAGCCCCAAAATCCATGGAAAAAACCCAAATTTGGGTCACATCGCGGGAAGAGCAGGTGAGTGAGGAAAATCCTGGGAAAAATGGGAATTTTGGGGTATTTTTTGGGTTTAATCTCAATTTTCTGGATGGAAAAGTCCCAATTTTTCAGAATTTTGGGGCTAAATTCCACAATAAACAACGGGGGGAAACCACTGGATGCAAAATCCACCACGAAATCTCTTTTTTTTACTGATTTTGTACCCTTTTTTACCTCAGAAAAATCTATTTATAGCTGAATTTCATGCTTTTTTTTTAATATATAGTTCCCAAAATCCCCAATTTTTTAGGGTTTAGGCCCAAATTCCACCGGGAAAAATCCTCTGCAGAAAGCTCCTCAAAAATTCCTTCTTTTTTTGCTGCTTTTGAGCCCTTTTTCCCCCTCAGAAAATCTATTAAAAATCCACTTTTGTCTCATTTTCCCAGCAAATCCCGATTTTCCCGCCCTGCGAACCTCCCCAATCCGGGCTCCCCATCCGCCCCGCCCCAAATCCTGGGATTTCCCCTCAAATCCTTGGAATTTTTCCCTCAGAACCTCGCGGGTTTTGTCCCAAAAATTCGGGATTTTGCCCTAAAAAAAAAAAAAAGGCGGGAAAAAACCCGGGAGCCGCGGCCGGAGAACAAAGGCGGCTCCGATCCCATTGTCCTGAAAAAAACCGGGAATGTGAGGGGAAAATCCCACCAAAACCCCCCCGTTTTGGGGCTAAAACCTTCCATTTAGGTCCCCGAAGGCAGTGCTGGTTAATTAAGTAATTAATAATTAATTAGTAATTAATTATTCATTATTAGGTCCCGCCCAGCTCCTCCCTACCGGCTCCGCTTCCCGCTCTAAACTGGGAGCTTGGATCTTAAAATTCCCAATTTTGGGACTTTTCAAGGGCTTGGGAACCCCCCAAAATTTGTATTTTTAATAGAAAATTATTAATTAATGTCAGGAAACGCCTAAAATCCAACAAACTTTGCAGGCAGCGGGAAATAATAGTGGATTTCCCACTGAAATGCTGGAAAATGGGAAGCAGATGGGTGGGTTTGGGTTAATATTGAAAGGATTTGGGTTTGAAAAAAACTCATTCTTCAGTTTACGGGAAATAAAACTCCCGACGAACTCAAAATTATCCCGAATTCTCCTCGGTATTCCAAGAAATCCAAATTTAGGGAATCCCTACAGGAGCTGCAGGTGGGGAATACCCAAAACAAAGGCAAAAAAAGGGAATTTTGGGGGCAAAATTGACAATTCCATCCCAAAAAACAACCCAAAAAATTACTTTAATCCCAAATTTTGAGGGTTTGGAGGGAAAACTCCCCCCGAAATTTCAAATAATCCATGGAAACAGCTGGAATTCGGGGCTGCCGCACCCAAAAGGGGCCAAATTTTGGGGCCAGATAAGGAAAAACGGGGACTTTTATCAGCCCCGCGAATGGGGACCACTCCCAGCTCCCCAAAAACCGCGGGAATGAGGGAAAACACCCCAAAAAAAGCCCAATTTTTGTAGGATTTGAGGCATTTCCCTCCCGGAGCAGCAGCTAATGAGTCGTTAATTACCCTCAGTTCATTAAGGAATGCACAACTCGCCAAAATCTTGGAATTCTGCTCATTCCCAGTGCGGGTTTTCCCTAAAATTCAGGAATTCCTGGGTGGAGATGGAGGGTTTATTCCAAATTATCCCAGTCTGGGGAGTCCCACTATGTCCTGGCCAAAATTCCAGCTCCAAACAGCTCCAGTTTTCCCATTCCTGGGGTTTTTTACCCCATTCCCAGTGAGGTTTTCCTCATTATTCAGCGGGATTTCCCCCCAATCCTGAAGTTTTTCCCCCAATCCTGGCAATTTTTCCCTCATTCCCGAGGTTTTCTTAATCTCCCGTGGGGTTTTTTTTTCCCATTTCCAATGTTTTTTCCTGCCATTCCCAGTGGATTTCCACCATTTTCAGTGAGTTTTGCCCCATTCCCGGGGTTTTTTCCTCATTTTCAGCAGTTCTGCCCCATTCCCAGTTGGGTTTTCCCCTTTTCCCAATAAGTTTTCCCCCATTCCCAGTAGTTTTTGTCCCATTCCTGGGGTTTTTTCCCCACATTTCCGAGGGGTTTTCCCCATTCCCAGCAGTCCTGCCTGGGATTGTCCTGCCTGACCCCACAGGGAATGGGGTGAAACTGCTGGGAATGGGGTAAAAAACCCCGGAATGGGAGAAATACAACAGGGAATGGGGTAAAATCCCTGGAAATGGGGAAATCCCACAAGGAATGGGGTAAAATCCCCAGAAATGGGGGAAATCCCACAAGGAATGGGGTAAAATCCCTGGAAAGGGGGATATCCCACAAGGAATGGGGTAAAATCCCTGGAAATGGGGAAAAAAAAAACACTGGAAATGAGGAAAACCCTGCTGGGAAAGGGGGAAACCCCTCAGGACTGGGGGGAAAACCCCCTGGAAATGGAACAAAACCACCGGGAATGGGGCAAAAACACTGGAAATGGGGCAAAACCCACTGGAAATGGGGTGAAAACAGCAGGAATGGGGCAAACCAGATGGGAATGGGGTAAAACCCACTGGAAATGGGGTGAAAACACCAGGAATGGGGTAAAACCCACTGGAAATTGGGTGAAAACAGCAGGAATGGGGCAAACCAGATGGGAATGGGGTAAAACCCACTGGAAATGGGGTGAAAACACCAGGAATGGGGTAAAACCCACTGGAAATTGGGTGAAAACAGCAGGAATGGGGCAAACCAGATGGGAATGGGGTGAAATCACCGGGCATGGGGCAAAAACACCGGGAATGGGTCAAAACCTGTAGAAATGGGGGAAAGCCGCCGGGAATAGGACAGAAACCATGGGAATGGGGCAAAACCCCTGCGAATGGGGGTAAAAGCACCCGGCAATGGGGCAAACCGGCTGGGAATGGGGCAAACCCGCCGGGAATTGCCCCCAGAGCGGGAAGGACGCGGGGAAGAAGCGGCAGCACCGGCCGGGATGCGGGGCCCTGAACGGAGCGGGAAAGCCGCGAACAGCGGCGAAGTTTCCCTCACAAACCCCTCCCTCAGTGTCCCCGCGGTGTCCCCGCGGTGTCCCCGCGCTGAGTCACGGCCGTGCCGGTGTCCCCGGTCCCCGTTGCCGGTGTCCCCTCCCCGTACCTGGCCTGGGCCTCATCCAAGCTCTGGTCGGTGATGGCCATGATCTGCTGCAGGACATCGCCGGTGTCGTGCTGCGGTGGCGCCGCCGCTGGCCCTGAGGGTGGCCCTGAGGGTGGCCCTGAGGGTGGCGGGTCGCCGCTGGTGGCAGCAGCGGGGGGAGGCGCTGGCGGAAGAGACCCCGGCAGGGCCACCCCGGGCATCAACCGCGGCGCGGCCTCCATGGGCGGGCCTGGAGCCGCGGGGCCGGCGCGACAGAGCGCGACAGGGCGCGACAAATCGCGACAGATCGCGACAGGAGCCGCGCCGAGCCGGCGGCCACAGAGCCACCCCCCCGTCCCCCCCCGCGCTGCCGCCGTTGTGGTCACGCCCAGCGCTGGCCACGCCCTCCTCCCGCCGCGCCCACAAGAGGGCACGCCCCGTCGTGAGGGGACGCCCTTCCCGCCATTGGGTTTGGCCACGCCCCCAGGTCAAACCACGCCCTTTCATGAGGGGACGAATCTTCCCGCCGTCGCTGTGACCACGCCCCCACATGGCCACGCCTTTTCTGCCATTTTCGGATCCCGCCCACTCGTGGTCACGCCCCCTATCTGACCACGCCTCCAGAGGCGCCATTTCCGCCCTTTTGACCCCACCCAAACGTCATGGTATCTCCATGGCAACCGTAGCCACGCCCCTTCTTATTAGGCCACGCCTCCTCCCCGAGGCCACACCTCTGCCGCTCTCGATTTTCTCTTTTTCCACCCAAAAATTTGGGATTTTTTTTGTGCCCACAGCCCCGTTTTGGGTCATTTTGAAGATCTGTGGTTGATTCCCAACAAAGCAGAGCTTTGGTCCCATTTTTGGGATAAAAACAGAGGGAAAAATGAAGGAATTAAAGGGAAAAATGAAAGAATTCAATGGAGAAAAAAAAGGAATAAAAGAAAAAATTAAAGAATTAAAGGAAAAATAAAGGAATTGCAGCTTAAAAATTCCCATTGGGAGCAATTCCAGTTTTGGAGGAAATCCCGGGCACCAGGTTTGGGTGTCTAACCTCAGTTTTGCCTGGAAAAATCCCACGAAATCCAGAAAAAATCCCATTTAATCCGAGGAATTCTGCAGCCAAAGTGGGAAAAGTTCCCTGGTTCCACTCCAGGGATCCCTGGGAATTCCCAGAACTCACAGGGGGAAGTTTTCCAGGATCAGAAAAAAAAAAAGAAGGGGAAAAAAAAGGGAAAATTTGGGTTTTTCTCAGCATTCCCAAATCCTGGGATTTGTGGAATTTTCAAGGAAATTTCAGCCCTCGGAATTCCCAAATTCTGGGGAATTTCTCAGCTTTTTCCAGGAGAATTTCTGCCCTCAGAGTTCCCAAATCCCACCCTCGGAATTCCCAAACCCCCCCGGAAGATTCCTGAGCTTTTTCCAAGGAAAAACAACTCCAGGTTAAAACCAGTCTTTAATGGGAATTCTACTCCGACGGTTTCCCAAAAAACCTGGAATTTTCCAGGGAAAAATCCAAGCTGGAGGCCCCCAGGACTCCGAGGTTCTCCCAAATCCCACAAAACCGCCTCGTTCTTGAGTTTTCCATGGAAATTTGGCTGCTGGAACCCCCAGGACTCCAAAATTCTTCTCAATCCTTGATCCACCAGGAGTTTTCCAAGGAAATTTTGATGTTGGAGCCCCCCAAGATGCTCCCAAATCCCAAAAAATCACTTCATCCTTGATCCGCCAGGAGTTTTCCAAGAAATGTTGATGTTGGAGCCTTCCAGGACTCCAGGACTCTCCCAGATCCCCAAAAAATCACTCCATCCTTGATCCACCAGGAGTTTTCCGAGGAAAATTTGGATGTTGGAGACCCCCAGGAATCCAAAGTTCTCCCAAATCCCACAAAACCACGTCATTCTGGAGTTCTCCAGGGAAATTTGGGTGCTGGAAACCCCAGGACTCCAAAGTTCTTCTCAATCCTTGATCCACCAGGAGTTTTCCAAGAAATGTTGATGTTGGAGCCTTCCAGGACTCCAGGACTCTCCCAGATCCCCAAAAAATCACTCCATCCTTGATCCACCAGGAGTTTTCCGAGGAAAATTTGGATGTTGGAGACCCCCAGGAATCCAAAGTTATCCCAAATCCCACAAAACCACGTCATTCTGGGGAGTTTTCCAGGAAAATTTGGATGTTGGAGACCCCCAGGAATCCAAAGTTCTCCCAAATCCCACAAAACTGCCTCGTTCTTGAGTTTTCCAGGGAAATTTGGCTGCTGGAACCCCCAGGACTCCAAAATTTTTCTCGAAGCTTGATCCACCAGGAGTTTTCCAAGAAATTTTGGTGGTGGAACCCCCCAGGAATCCAAAGTTCTCCCAAATCCCACAAAACCACCTCATTCTGGAGTTCTCCAGGGAAATTTGGGTGCTGGAACCCCCAGGACTCCAAAGTTCTTCTCGAAGCTTGATCCACCTGGAGTTTTCCAAGGAAAATTTTGGTTCTGGAGCTCCCCAGGAATCCGGGACTCTCCCAAATCCCAAAAAATCACTTCATCCTTGATCCCACCACGACTTTTCCAGGAAAATTTCCACGCCGGAACCCCCAAGGAATCCAGAATTCTCCTCCACCCCGCAATCCTCGCTCCACCACGACTTTCCCAAGAAAAATTCCCACCTCAGAGCCCCCCAGCCCTTCGAGCCACGCCCAAAAAAACCCCAAAAAATCCCAAAAAAACCCCCGAAATCCCAAAAAAAAAATCCCTAAATGGAAGAATCCACGGTGAAGTGGCCGTTGTGGGAATGCAGCCCCCGCTCCGGGGCGGCGTACTTGGAATTCCGGAGGCACGGGAAGCACAGGAGCCGCCGGAAGGTGTTCCTCATCTCGTTATCCCGCCAGGAGTAAACGATGGCGTTAATTAGGGAGTTGATTTCGGCCAGCAGCAGGACGTACTTCTCCACGGCCAGCACGTCGCAGCTCTGGCAGCCCAGCCCGTCCAGCAGCAGAACCACCTGGCCTGGAGTCCAGCACACCACGAAGGCACCTGGAAAAACGGGAAAAGAGGGAGAAAATGGGAATTTTTGGTGTTGGCCGGTCACTGCCTGGATGGGATTTCAGTTCTTTCCAACCCAAAGAATTCCAGGATAAAATTGTTCCATAGAATCCCCATGGTGAGTCTTGGGAGAAGAATAAAATGAAGGAAAAGAGATGGGAAGAAGATCACCCTAATTAATCACCCACCCAGGATGATGATGGCCAATCCACCAAGGATGATGATGACCAACACAATTAACCCCTAATTAACCGCCCACCGAGGATGATGACCAACTCACCAACCCAATTAACCCCTAATTACCGCTAATTAACCATCCACTGAGGATTCTGATGACCAACCCACCAGAATGATGAAGACCAACCCAATTACCCCCTAATGACCAACCAACCCAGGATGACGATGACCAACCCAATTAACCCTTAATTAACCACCCACCCAGGATGATGGTGACGGTCTTGACCAGCGCCAGCACGGTGTCGCGGTGCCGCAGGTGCACACCTCTGTTACCCCGTAATTAATGGCTAATTAATCACTAATTAACCACCCACTGAGAATGATGACCAACCCACCCAGGATGATGGTGACCAACCCAATTAACCCCTAATTACCCCTACTGAACCACCCACCCAGGATGACAATGACCAACCAACCAAGGATGATGACCAACTCACCAACCCAATTAATCCCTAATTACTGCTAATTAACCATCCACTGAGGATTCTGATGACCAACCCACCAGAATGATGAAGACCAACCCAATTAACCCCTAATGACCAACCCACCCAGGATGACGATGACCAACCCAATTAACCCTTAATTAACCACCCACCCAGGATGATGGTGACGGTCTTGACCAGCGCCAGCACGGTGTCGCGGTGCCGCAGGTGCACACCTCTGTTACCCCGTAATTAATGGCTAATTAATCACTAATTAACCACCCACTCCTAATTAACCACCCACCCAGGATGATGGCGACCACCCCAATTAACCCCTAATTAACCACCCACCCAGGATGATGGTGACCACCCCAATTAACCCCTAATTAACCACCCACCCAGGATGATGGTGACGGTCTTGACCAGCGCCAGCACGGTGTCGCGGTGCCACAGGTGTGTGCCCCTGTTACCCCCTAATTAATGGCTAATTAACCGCTAATTAACCACCCACCCAGGATGATGGCGACCACCCCAATTAACCCCTAATTAACCACCCACCCAGGATGATGGTGACGGTCTTGACCAGTGCCAGCACGGTGTCGCGGTGCCGCGGGTGCGCGCCCGTGTGCCGCGCCATGCGCGCCATCCTCCTCCTGACGTAGACGAAGATGTGCCCGTAGACCACCACCATGACCAGGAAGACCACCAGGTTGGACACGGCCCAGAAGGTCAGGTAGCTGCGGCTGTAGAGCGGCGCCATCCGGGAGCAGCTCTCCAAGGAGCACAGGCAGTGCCAGCCGTAGGACGGGATCAAGCCCAGCAGCAACGCCGCCGCCCAGATGGAGAAGATCAACCCCACCACGCGCTGGGCCGACATCTCGCTGTGCAGCTGCATGGTCAGCACCGTCCGGTGCCGCTCCACCGCGATGGCCAACAGGTTGACCACCGAAGCCGTCAAGCTGGTGTCCAACAAGCTCTGCCGGATGAACCACGTCTTGAGCGACAGCTGGGCGGTCCTAGGCCCCGTGTGGAACATCAAGAACATGTAGGCCACGCCGGCGAAGAGGTCGGCGGCCGCCAGGTTGGCCAGCAGGTAGTAGATGGGGTAGTGGAAGCGGCGGTTGGTGGCCACGGCGGCGATGACCAGCAGGTTGGTCAGCAGCACCACGGCGCTGACCGCCAGCCCCAGCGCCACCACCAGCACGTCCTTGGGCCGCCAGTGCGCGCTCAGCTCCTTGCGGCTGTTGTTGTAGAAGAAGCCGACGGTCTCGTTGTAGAAGCAGTGCTTCATGGCGGGGGGCCTGGGGGGACGGGGGGATGGGNNGGGGGGAATTGGGGAATGATATGGGAGGGGAAATGGAAAAATGGGAGCGAAAATGGGGGGAAATGGGGGGAAAATGGGGAAAAAAGAGGGGAAAATTGGGGGGAAATGGGGATTTTTAAAAAAAAATAGGACAGAAATGGAGGAAATGGAGGAAAATGGGGGGAAATGGGGATTTGGGGAAAAATGGGGGGAAAATGGGGATTATGGGGGGAAATGGGGAAGAAAGGGAAAAATGGGAGGAAAACGTGGAAAAATTGGGAAAAAAGGAAGAAAAATGGGAAAAAATTGGGGTAAGCCCCACAAAATTGGACAGTCCTTCCCAAAACTGAGAAAAAACGCTCAAAAATTAGGAAAAAAACCCTAAAAATTGGGGAAAAACCTC